GCCAGCAACGTTTCAATTCCCATTATATATAGGGTTATTTGAAGAAGGCCAAAAGTCACTTTTGGTCCCTGTAGTTTGACACTTCAACCACTTTTGACCCTGTAGTTTCAATTTCGTCACTTTATACCCTGTAGTTTCATATTTGAAGCAATTCAAGGATATGTTAAAATTTCTGTTAATTTCTTTAACGGAGTAAACATGTGCCCCTCACGTGGAGGGGCAATTTTGTCAGTCCAAAGTAGCTTGTCTCTTCCTCTTCCCTAGGGCGCGCGAAATTGGCCATTTTGAAGCAGATTAGGATTAGGGCTCTTAAAATTTTAGTGAAATTCATCTGGGCTTTTGATTAAGTGCAACGAGAGGGTGCGAAAAGACTAGCAGAACTTCAATAGGGTTTAGGGAGGTGAAGTCGATGGAGGTGAAGAACAGAGGTGAAGTCGATGGAGGCTTCAATAATCCAGGTGAACTCAAAATCTTTGAAGGTTCAGTTTTCTGTGCGAATTTGTTTTACAACTTTCTTTTATTTGAGGTTTCAATGCATATAATTAGTAGGTTCCAACGCCATTTCTGAAAGCAAATGATGTTTATATAGTTGCAGAAAGAGAACGATAACAACACAGGAAAGAAAAAAAAACATAAAATAGCTATAGTTTTTGTAATCATCACTTGTTAAACAGTCAAATTCATCTACATTTTAGTGTCAAGCTATGTAATACTCACATATATAAATTTTAATGATCATCATTAGAGGAATCAGTTTAAATTCCGTATGCAACCCATGTAGTGGGTAATTTTTTTCGAAATTTAGAGAAAAAGCGTGATTTTCAGTGTTGAATATATATATATAACTCTGACTAAAGAAAAATGGGTAAAGTTAGACCAATCTGAGATCATGTCAAGTCACCCTCCTGCAGAAACTATTGTTTTTAAACATGGAACAAGAACTGTTGTTGCAAGCCCTTTTAAGATTGCTGATCAAGCCGATGAACCCAATAAGTGTTTGGTAGAACAAAATAATTATACGAATCGAAGTCTAGTCACCATAGGAAAACAATTAGATAAAATAGAAACTAAAATTGATAGGTCTTTACCTACTGAATCCAAGCTTAAATCCTCAGAAAAACCCCTAGTCCATTTCCAAGATTTACAACCTAAGTTTGCTCTTAAAACACCCTCTACAATGAAAAAGATAGAAGAAATGCTTGAACACTTAACTACTGCTAAACCTGAGAAATCTGGTCTTAAAGTTATAGGGTCTTCCTTCCCTTTAGATAACCAGTCAGGCACTGAGTCTGAGTCAAATACAGAGTCTATAGATTCAAGTAATATTTCAAAAATTGAAAATGCATTCAAAAATCTAGAATTAGAATCTGAGTTGAAGGTCAAAAGATTAACTAATCCTGCTAGCTTAACAAAAAATTGGTATCCTAAGCCTACACCACCTGACATTCAATTTGAAGAGCGAAACAATCTGAGTCAATTTTCTGTTTCTTCTGATAAATTATATGAATGGAATATAGACGGTTTATCCGAACAAGAAATTATGAATAAGTTAACTCACATGTCTATGGTAGCTAATAGTTATATTACTAATCATAATTGAAGACAATCTGAGATAATTCCTTTACTAGAAACAGGCTTTACAGGAACTCTACGTTCATGGTGGGATAAGCATTTAACAACTGAATCTCGGGAAAATATTATCCATGCAGTAAAACTCAATGAAGAAGGTCTTCCCCTGTTTGATGAAAATATAGGTAGAGGTATAGAAGATGGCGTTAATACTCTCCTTTATACAATAATTGAGCACTTTATAGGAACACCAAGTCATACCCAGTCTAGAATACATGATCAACTGAGCAATTTAAGGTGCCCTCAATTAAGTGACTTTAGATGGTATAAAGATGTCTTTATTTCCCGCGTAATGATAAGAGAAGATAGTAACCAAGCCTTTTGGAAAGAAAAATTTATTAATGGATTACCTAATTTATTTGCCCACAAAATAAGAACTGTCTTAAGCAATGAACTAGGTCATATAGATTATGATAATCTGACATATGGTAATATAATTAGTACTATTAATCAAGAAGGTATGAAAATGTGTATTGATATGAAAATTAATAAACAAATACAGTTTGAAAGAAAATCGGCAAAATATGAGCTAGGTAATTTTTGTGAACAATATGGTTTATTTACTCCTCCTTCTAGGAAAAATAAATATAAGTCTTCTAGTCATCTTCGTAAAAAATGTCACTATGAGCGTAAAAAACATTCTTATCAGCCCAATAATGAGTTCTACAAGAAAAAACCCCCGCTTTAGGAAAAGTTGGTCAAAAAAGCCAAAGGATAAAAATTTAAGAAAAGTACCGACAAAAGTAAAGTAAAATGTTATAAATGTCAAAAGTTCGGTCACTATGCTAATAAGTGTAAAGTAAAAGATGCTATCCGACAATTACAGATAACTGGCGAAGAAAGAGCCAAATTGATTAAAGTACTTGAGTTAAGAAATTCTGAGTCTAGCAGTGATATAACTATGGTTAGTAACTCTGAGTCTTCTAACTATGAGTCTTCTGATTCCCACATAAGCTCGCCAAACATACAACTAGGATGTAAGGATAAATGTTGTAATACTCTTAAGTCTATTTCTGTTTTAACTAAGCAAGAAGAGCAAGAAGAATTATTGATTGATTTAATTAGTAAAATAGAACATCCTGAGCTCAAAACTGAATATTTAAAGAAACTCAGAAAAATTATAACCCAAGAAAATACAGTTCTGCCCTCTTCTTCTACTATAAGTCTAAATACTACCCTAGAAAGGTTTCATAAGAAAAAAGAGATTTCTTTACATGATTTACATACTGAGGTAAAGTCTGTAAAAAAGGAAATAGTTGAACTAAAACAATTGAGTTATAAGTTACAAACTGAGAATTATGATATCCGACAAAGTTTGAATTCCCTACTAGAGCAAATTCATCTAAAACTGATAGCCAACCAGGTAGTCCAACCCATTCTGAAGAAAATAAGAAAATTGATCAAGCCATTAATTTAATTAATCATGTCCCTTTTAGAAAATGGTATTCCAAAGTCACTATAATTATTAAGGATTTTGAAATTAATACTATTGCTTTATTTGATACCGGAGCCGATCTTAATTGTATAAAAGAAGGATTAATTCCCACTAAATACTATAAAAAATCTACAGAATCTCTGAGTACTGCTTCTGGAAAAATGTTACATTTAAACTATGAAATTCCGAAAGCCCATGTTTGTCAAATAAGGTCTGTTTTAAAACCTCGTTTGTTTTAGTTAGAAATATAACTGACAAAGTCATTCTAGGTTTACCTTTCATAAGCCTTCTGTACCCTCTGCAAGTTGAATTTGATGGAGTCGTTTCAAGTCCCTTAGGAGAAAAAGTTAAGTTTGAATTTCTTACTCGATCTGAATTACATAAGTTGAAAACTACAGATAAAAATATTAATGCTATAACAACTTCTTTGATTCATGATAAAACTAACCAAATTAAACATTTACAGGATGAGGTAAAAACTAAGCGGATTGAGTCCCAATTAAATACCCCTTGCTTCCAAAAACAAATTCAAGATTTTGAGAAAAAATTGATTGCTGAAATATGTTCTGATTTACCTACTGCTTTTTGGCATAGAAAAACCATATCGTAAGTCTGCCTTATATAAAGAATTTTCTTGAGAAAAATATACCTACTAAAGCCCGTCCAATACAGATGAGTCAAGAGATATTAGAGTTTTGTAAAAATGAGATAAATGAGTTACTACAAAAAAAATATAATTAGACGTAGTAAATCACCATGGTCTTGCCCTGCTTTTTATGTACAAAAAAATGCTGAGTTAGAGAGAGGATCACCTAGATTAGTTATTAATTATAAGCCTCTCAATACTGTTTTAGAATGGATTCGATACCCTATTCCTAACAAAAGAGATTTAATCAATCGGTTAAGCAAAGCTATATCTTTTCTAAATTTGATTTAAAGAGTGGCTTTTGGCAAATACAAATTACTGAATCTGATAGATATAAAACTGCTTTTGTTACTCCCTTTGGTCACTATGAATGGAATGTGATGCCTTTCGGTCTTAAGAATGCTCCTAGTGAATTCCAAATATAATGATGAAATTTTTAATCCATACAGTCAATTTTCCATAGTCTATATTGATGATGTTCTTATATTCTCTGAATCCATAGAACAACATTGGAAGCATTTACATAAATTCTTACAAATCATAAAAACTAATGGGTTAGTTGTCTCTGCTAAGAAATTAAACTGTTTCAAACTCATATTAGATTTCTTGGATTTAATATTAGTCAATCACAAATACATCCTATAGATAGAGCCATACAATTTGCTGATAAATTTCCTGACCAAATAATTGATAAGAATCAGTTACAACGATTTTTAGGATCTCTTAATTATGTTTCTGATTTTTACAAGAATTTAAGAAAACAATGTAAACCCTTATATGATAGATTACAGACTAATCCTCCTCCTTGGTCCTCTATTCATACTGAGATTGTTAAACAATTAAGAGTCATGTTAGAACACTTGCTTGCCTTGGTATCCCAACTACAGATTCCTTTAAAATAGTTGAGACTGATGCCTCTGAAATAGGTTATGGTGGTATCCTTAAGCAGAAAACTCTTTCTACTCCTTCTGAGCAAATTGTTCGATTTCATTCTGGTATTTGGTCCAAGTCGCAGTCTAATTACAGTACTATTAAAAAAGAAATACTAGCTATAGTACTATGCATTACTAAATTTCAAGATGATTTATTAAATCAAAAGTTTCTTGTTCGTGTTGATTGTAAATCTGCTAAACATGTTTTAGAAAAAGATGTTCAGAATATTGCATCAAAACAGATTTTTGCACGATGGCAAGCACTTTTAAGCATATTTGACTTTGATATTGAATTTTTAAAAGGTAGTGAGAATTCTGTGCCTGATTTTCTTACCAGAAAATTTTTACAGGATAAGCAATGGCCGGAAGAAAAGAAAAAGATAAACACAAAGAGCAATACAGCCAAACTCCCCCAATGCCCAGAATCCTCCCTGCCTCATTAAGCCAAAAATCTATAAAAATGAGCCTGGTTCTTCTTCCTTTCCTAAACTTGAGTCTACCATTACTCCTTTCCCTGGTCTATCCCCTATTCCAATAGACAATCGTTTCAGCCCTTTAGGATCTACACTGAGCCAAATAAGACCCAATTACCAGTCTGCACTTACTTCCAGTTATGATCCTTTTCTGTTACCCCCTAATGCAACTCCACTTTCTTCTCCTACATTCCGTCCTAAGACTTCCCCATATGTTTTTAGGAGTACTGCTAATCTTTTTATTATTGAGCCTCATGTCTCTATGTCTATGAGCCCTACTATGGTTGCTCAGAATCATTTCCCTCCTGGCTTTCATTACCTTCCACATAGTCCCTACAAGTCCCTTAAATTCTACCGTGAGATACTTCATGAAACTAAATCTGTTGATATTAAGCCAATCCGTGATAAAATTAGACCCCTTCTGGTATCAGAGCCGTAAGAGTTGTGAGAATTTTGAGTCTAAGTTACAAATATATATATTACACTATAGAAAAAGGAATGATTATCTCTCTTGAAACCACTAAGAACTAAGACAAGGAAATGATAGCATTGAGGTCAGCAAGGCATTCAATGGGTAGGCCAAGGAAGGAGTTAATCAGAAAGTCATCAATAGGATCAACAGTTGCCACCCCAACCAATCTGCACTTTCCTTGTTCATCCAACCTCTCCCCTCTTCCACTTTTTATTGAGCCTTTTGTTTTTTTGTTTTTTTTTACCTGGCCAGATTCTTGATTGATGCTCCCCCTGAAGAGCTTGGGAATGTCAATCTTCAAAAATGGTGGCAATGGCAATCCCAAGAACTTTGTTGTTGCACTCTTCTCTGTTTTCGCTTTTGTTTATTCCATTCTTTTGTTTTGTGGCCTTGTTTTGTTTTGTTTTTCTTATTTGAATGACCTTGTTTTGTTATGTAACTTTGGGTTTGGAAAGTTATGCTTTGTTGCTATGATGGTTGAAAATTTTATAAAATAGTGTGTGTGTATTGGGAGTTTGGGAAACACAATGGTCAGCTATTTGCATAAAGTAAAGCAATATGCATGCCATTTGTTATTTAATAGCTCTGAATGCTTTGATTCACATAAAGTAAAGCAATATTTTCAATTTCATGGCATTGATTTTTCAGATGCTGGCCCTCCACGATTTCCTTATGTCGAAGCATTTGATGAGGTTCCAGATGAATATTTTGATGATATTTTTAATCAAGCTTCACAAATTTCCTTTGAAGGTGGACAAGAAGTGGGTAATGACAACATGGGAACAATAGAAGTGCCTGTGTATGGACATAATATTGACAATGAAGATAGGATAAAGGTACCTGTCAATGTTGATGATGAAGAGGATAGTGAAGAAGACTGTGACGTTGATGGTAGGAGGAGAGTAAGAGATCTTCAAGACAGTGGTGATGAATCAGATAAAGAAATATATGAAAGTGATAATGATGCTGCCATTGATGACAACAACCTGTTTGATGGAAATATGCAATCCAGTTTTGGGAGAGTAGGAAATACCTATCTACCTAAGGATTTTGTGGCTTTTGATCATGAAGAAGACTCGGATACAAACTCAGAAAAAGCTTTCAACTCACCTAACCACTCTTCAGATGAGGATGGTGAAATGAAGAGGAAGTATCCAGAGTTCTGTAAGTCTGATTTGAATAATCCCAAGCTTGAGAAAGGAATGTTATTTGGAAGCAAGGAGATCTTGAAGACAGCTGTTAAGAATTATGCAGTGATGGGAAATTATTCAATAAAATTTGTCAAAAATGATAAGAGGAGGATCACTGCAAGATGTACAAACTGCACTTGGATGCTTCATGCTTCATATATGCAACTAGAGGAAACGTTGCAGATCAAGACCTTTATTGATAAACACATTTGCGTCCGAAATCCTACTAACCCACATGTCAATTGTGTATACATAGCTCAAAAGTATATAGATCGTATCATGGATGAGCCTGATATTACGATTAAAAATCTTAAGAAGGCAGTGAAGAGGGACTTAGGATATAATGTTTCAGATAGCCAATGTTCTAGAGCTAAGAGGAAAGCCAAAAAAATAATAGAAGGGACTTACATGGAGCAATACTCAAGGCTGTGGGAGTATTGTGATGAGGTGAAAGCAACAAATGTGGGAAGCACAATGAAGATAAGGGTGGAGCTTCCTTCGCACTTGCAAAGACTTTATGTATGCCTTGATGCATGCAAAAAGGCTTTCTGGCTGGTTGCAGACCTATCATTGGAGTGGATGGATGTCATTTGAAGGGTCCTTTTGCAGGTAATAACTACAACAAATGGTTTGAATAAATACTCAGATTAGCCACTTATATTAATTGATATTTTTCAATAATATGTGAGTTTAACTCCTTTCTTTCATAGGTCAATTACTTGTTGCAGTGGGTGTTGATGCCAATGATAACATGTACCCTATTGCATATGCTGCTGTGGAGTTGGAAACTAAGGAGACATGGAGCTGGTTTTTGGAGTTGCTAATGGATGATCTTGGTCCTGTAGAAGACCATGGATGGATATTCATATCAGACCAACAAAAGGTGAGCTTATAATTCATGCATAATGGTTTAATTTTATTCTTTATTATTTATTATTCCGAATAAACTTATGAATAACATATGGTTTTATTGATTATTAATATAATATATATTCAAGAACAACTAAAATGTGATTATGCTTATACCTGATATAGGGGTTGGACAAAGCCTTTGATATTGTTGTGCCTCAAGCCCAACATAGGTGGTGTGTTAGGCATATGTATGGGAACTTCAAGGAAAAGTATAAGGGCAAGGGTTTGAAAGATCTTTTATGGAGTGCAGCTAGGGCTCCCAATTGCCATGACTTTGAGGTTGAGATGAATAAGCTGAAAGAGATGGATGGTGATGCTTATAATTGGTTGATGGGGAAAGATCTAAATAAGTGGGCTAGACATAGGTTTAGCACTGCCCCTAAATGTGATATGTTGTTAAATAATTTGTGTGAAACATTTAACAGCTACATCTTGGGTGCCCGAGATAAACCTATATTGACCATGCTAGAAATGATAAAGTGTAACCTAATGAAAAGGTTAGAAGTGAAGAGGATTGCTATGGCAAAACATGAGGGGGTCATTTGCCCTAAAATTCAAAAGAAATTGGAGAAGATAAAGATGCATTCGGCTAGGAATTGTATGCCAACAGCAGCTGGAGCATTTGAATATCAAGTGGGAGAGTACTTACATGATCAACATGTGGTAAATATAGCATTGAAGACATGCTCTTGTATGAGATGGGATCTTAATGGTATCCCTTGCATTCATGCCGTTGCTGCCATATATCTTTATAAGGGTTGTCCAGAAGATTATGTAGCTTCATGCTATCTTAAGGACACTTATTTGAAGGCTTATGAGCCAATGATTCATCCAGTGAAGGGCTTTAACATGTGGCCAAAGTCAAATAAAAAACAACTCTTACCTCCAATTGTTAGAAAACAACCGGGGAGACCAAAAGGAGTAGGAAAAAGGACCCTGAAATGGAGAAGGTTGTTGATACCAGTGGTACTAAACTCAAGAGAAAAGGCACTGTCACATGTACCAAGTGTTGGAAAAAAGGCCACAACAAAAGAAATTGCTCTAATCAGCCCCAAGACCCTCCACCTGGAACCTATATTGATAAAAGATGGGGACTTCCAGCTTCTTTGAAGAAAAGGAGAAGTAATGGTGCTACAGATGTGGCCTCCTTTTCTCCTATGCCAACTCAAGAGAATGTGCACACCACTCTGATGCAAAGACAAAAGCTTCCTGTAAGTGTTTTCATTTTTCCTAATATATATTTATATGTAAATATATATATTAATATACATTTTGTGTGGCTATGCAGATTAGGAAGGGTTATGTAAATGCTCCAAATGCACCAAGGCCAACTCCTCTTGTGCCCACTTCAAGACCAACTCCTCTTATGCCCACTCCAAGACCAACTCCTCTATTTATACCCACTCCAAGGCCTATTCCTAATATGCAAATTGGAAGTTTAAGCTCTGTGAATCAAAGACAAATTGGAGGTGCAAGATCAATGAATACAAGACCAACTCTTAATATGCAAATGGGAGGTGCAAGTTCTGTGAATCCAAGGCATATGGGAGTTAGCATTAGGCCTCCACTATCGAGGCAAATGGGAGGTTCAAGTGCCCGATGGAACCCACCAGGAAAAGCAACGAACAAGAAAATTCCAAGTGAACTGAAATTGCTTATTTTGGTTGTTGGCCAATATTTTGTGAACTAAAGTTGGCCATTACTTTTGAACGTAGTTTAATAGTTTCTGGTTGTTGGCCAATATTTTGTGAACTTTCTTCTTTTGCTATAACTGTAACAGGCCTTGAATTCTTCTTTTGTTATCAGACATACTTTTTTGGCTGCAAGTGTAAGACCCCTGTTTTGGGTATAATGCAATCAGATTTGACTAAAAAAACACTCAAATGTTTTGTGAAATAGCAATCAGATTTAACAATCATAATAGAAAGATACTAAATTCTTGGTTTTACCTTGGGTAGAGACAAGCTTTTACTTGGGGCTTTGGAGTGACAAAATTGCCCCTCCACGTGAGGGGCACATGTTTACTCCGTTAAAGAAATTAACAGAAATTTTAACATGTCCTTGAATTGCTTCAAATATGAAACTACAGGGTTAAAAGTGACGAAATTGAAACTACAGGGTCAAAAGTGGTTGAAGTGCCAAACTATAGGGACCAAAAGTGACTTTTGGCCTTTGAAGAAAGACACCCTGAACTATCACGCTTGTCGAAATCTCCACCATGAACTTTTTTTCTTACCAATTTAGCCCTCATAATAAATTTTATCGCCAATTTACCCCCAAGGTTAGTTTTTGGCAATTTCCATCAAAATCTTTATTAAAAAATTATCATGTCAGGCATATGCTTCACTGTTGAATTAAAATTGATTTTTTTTTTCTTTGGTTCTTCAAAGAGCTCGAATGGGGGAGAAATAAATCGGGGGGAGGGGGGAGAAGGGATTCTGGTTTTTGTATGTAGAGGATGGGAGGAGGGGGGAGGGGTATGTTAGTGGTGGTTTGGAAATGGGGGGAGGGGGAGAAGAAATCGGAGGTAGGGGCGATGGTTCTGGGTTCTGTGGGGTTGGGGGGAATGAGGGAGAAAGAAATCGAGGGGGAGGGGGATTCTGGTTTCTGTAGGTGGGGGGTAGGAGGGGGGATGGGTCTGTGGGTGGTGGTTGGTGGTTGGGAAATGGAGGGAGAAGAAATCGGTGGGGGTGGTTGAGAAGAAATCGAGGGTGGGGGGAATTTTCCTTATTTTTCTTAATATTATACAATGTCAAACGTCAAATTCACCCTTATATTTGACCGGCTTTTGGATAAAATTGTCAAAAAAACTGACAGTATGGGCGAAATTAGCGAATAAATTTAATATGAGGGCTAGATTGACTGAAAAATTAATTCATAGTTGTAATTTTGACAGTCGAAATAGTTTGGGGTATTGGGCAGTTTACCGTTTTATATATCTCTTCGTCCACATAGTTGATGCCATCAGCTCTTGCTCTTTGAAGAGGAAAAACAGAACAAATGGATGCCGAAGAACAAGCAGCTGGTCTTGAATCTCCCTTGCTTCCAGCTGCTCAAGAACATGAATCACAAGCAACAAAGGGAAGACTATCCAAAGATGAGATTATCAAGGAAGTGAAGAAGCAGCTGTCTTTAGCAGGGCCACTTGTGTCATCAAATTTCTTGCTTTTTGGTATGCAGGTGATTTCAGTCATGTATGTTGGCCATCTTGGAGAGCTGGCACTTGCAGGTGCTTCCGTGGCCACTTCATTTGCTTCAGTCACTGGTTTGAGCTTGATTGTAAGATGGCTTCTTTTCTTATTTCATATGACTTGGTAATTTATAGGATAATTGATTGTAGTAGAAATAAACCTATACCATAAAAGGCTTATACTCTCAAGACTCAGACAAAATAGAGAGACACAGAGAGCTTAAGACCACTGTGAAATCTAATAGAGAGGCAGCCTAGTACTTTTCGTTATAAAAAAAGAGAGAAAAAATACTTCTAGTTTTTCCCCCCTTCATTTTTATTTTTTGATACATGAGATATTGGGGTAGGGGGGATTCGTTCACAGAACCGCGGAGGCAGGGATAAATGCTCTTCCCCTTAATTTTGTTTATCTAATTTGTGCTATTTATATATGCATATTATATATACATATATAGTATGATGTATGTAAATTGTGATGCTTGATGTGTTTGAACCAATGATGATATAATAGTCCTCATTTTAATCTTAATTTGTTGAACAGATAGGAATGAGCAGTGCATTAGACACCTTCTGTGGCCAGTCCTATGGAGCAAAACAGTATCATATGCTTGGCATACACTTACAGAGAGCAATGCTTGTTCTTCTGCTGGTCTGCATTCCTATTTCAATTATATGGTTCAATGCTGGTCATATTCTTGAGTTCTTGGGTCAAGATCCAGAAATAGCAGCTGCTGCTGGAAGTTACGCTCGTTTCCTGATACCATGCCTCTTTGCTTATGCCGTCAACCAATGCCACTCCAAATTTTTGCAAAGTCAAAACAATGTGGTTCCCATGATTGTTAGCACAGGCACTGCAACAATGTTGCACTTGATTGTCTGTTGGGTTTTGGTATACAAGACTAGCCTTGGATATAGAGGTGCTGCAGTGGCAAACTCCATCTCGTATTGGATCAATGCATTGGCATTGGTTATTTATGTCAGAGTCTCTCCCTATTGCAAGCACACATGGACTGGGTTCTCAAAGGATGCCTTCCATGGAATTCTCAATTTTCTCAAACTCTCTGTTCCTTCAGCTGTAATGATCAGGTAACCTTTAGTTATTTCACTAATACTATTGTAACATTAGATGGTTAAAATACAGTGGGAAACCGAAATAAAAATATTCGACATCTTTCGATGTATTTGAGATTTTGAAATGCTGGCACTTACTAATAGTTGTTTGTTGGTTTTATGTCTGTGACAGCTTAGAAAGCTGGTCATTCGAAATGATGGTCCTCATATCTGGTTTTCTTCCTAATCCAAAGCTTGAAACCTCAGTCCTGTCAATCAGGTTTGCATTTTTACTAACTAAGCTTAAAAAGAGAGTGTTTTCATATTTCTAGTTAGTGAAGATGAAGCAGATGAAGCAGAAACAAAGATATTACTAACCGGCTTTGACACATTTGCAGTCTTAACACATGCTCAATGATTTACATGATTCCCATGGCATTCAGTGGTACAGCAAGGTGAGTCTAAGACTCTAAATCTACATCTAAGTTTTGTATGTTCCTGTTTTTGCACATTTTGTCTCAAGAATTCTATTCTGTTATTTACTTCTATATAACAGCACAAGGGTCTCCAATCAATTGGGTGCTGGGCAACCGCGACTCGCAGTTCTAGCAGTACGTGTTGCACTGTCCATTGTGATTCTTGAGGGCATTTTGATTGGCACTGTCCTCATTTTGGGTCGAAAAATTTGGGGCTACTGTTACAGCAAAGAAATAGAAGTTGTGAATTATGTTGGAGAAATTTTGATTTTGGTTGCAATATCCCACTTTTTTGATGGACTTCAGTCTGTGCTTTCAGGTTTCTGCAGTTTTTTCACCATTTCCCTCTCTCATAACAATAGATTTTTTTTCTCTTCTTATTCTGGATTTGCAAATCTTTATGCGATACCTGGCATAACCTATAGCTAAAACCGAAGTCAACAGAACAAAAGATAATAAAAAGGTTTTATTCAACTCATATGATCAAACTGTGGGATTGAATGGTACCCGTATGCCGCGGTTTCTCATTTCAGGGAAGATTTTTTTATAGCTGATTTGATGAAAAGAAGTGGCTTGAATTTACAATTTCAGGTGTCATAAGAGGAAGTGGACAACAAAAGATTGGGGCATATGTTAATCTGGGAGCTTACTATCTTATGGGCATCCCAACTGCTGTTGTATTAGCTTTTGTCCTGCACCTTGGAGGGAAGGTGATGTATATTAGTCCTTGTACTGCTATTTTTTCAAGTCCCCTCCCAATTGTTGCACATCTGAATCATTCAGGACCATTACATTGATATCAGATTAACACGTTTTTGCAGGGTCTTTGGACCGGAATTACTGTCGCTCTATTTTCCCAGACACTATTTCTTGCAATCATAATCACACGCACAGATTGGGAGAAAGAAGTAAACTACTTTGTCATGCTAGGTTTCATGTATCAATCTCTGTTACATTCATCTTTGTTATGCTCGATTTTTCATTTCTTTTGTAGGTGAAGAAAGCATCTGATAGAGTGTACAACACAAAGACCGCGGCCAATGTGTCGTAGCAAAACTGGTGCAGAAGTCATGGTCATATTAAATTGTTAGGTTGGCATCTTCCTGTTGGTGTTAGGACCCTATCACTAGTTTTGCACCTATCTATTTCCATTAAGAATAAAGGCTAGCAGTGTTCCTTATTTGTAGAGAATTAGTTGTCATCTAGCTGGCCTGTGGCCATCTGGCATTTGAGAGTCTGTATATATCCTTCTTCTTGTTTCTGAGAAAGGCATGGAATGAAAAGTTGTTTAGTTTAAAGAGAGAGGAGGTTTGGAAAATGGTTGATAGCGTTTAGGACAATAACTTAACTTAGAAAGGAAATTTTTTGAAAGAGTAACAAAATATTTTTATTTTATTGATTGAAATAAGAAGGGTACAAGGCTTTAGAGTTGGTTGGATACACGAGTTGGCTGATGGGAGAGTTAGACAGCAGTGGCTTGCAGCTTTTCTTACTTGAACACATAATTGGGCTGCTAGCTATAGATATAGAGTAGCTAAACCGACTTTCAACTTGGCAAATATCTAGTCAAGTCGGTTATTGCACAGTAACCGACTTCCAAAGTGTTTTCCAGCCACTAGTTATATTATAAATTAATAGGATGTTTCTAGTGTAGAGTTCAAATTTCACTTGTCATCTTTTCTCAATTTTTAAGACTTTTCAATATTATTCAAGACCTTTCTATATTATTCTAGTACAAGTGTGTATTATTTTTTTTAACATCTTCCTTTTATTTTCAATTGCTATTTCCTTACCTTTTCCAAATTAGGTTTTGGGTCCCAACATTGGTTCTTGTGAACTTTTTATTTTCCATTTTGGTCATTTTTCTTGAGTTGTGCTTGAGCATTTTCAGTGATGCTGACAGACATTTACTAGAGGTCCAACAATATACAATATAGACAAGCATTTTCACAAAGAAAATGCTAGAGAAATCAACTTTAGATACCAACTTGTGTACCATCTCTCTAATAGAGTGTGAGACCTATTGTATTGGTAGGCTCCACCTCTATTGGAGAGATGGTACACAAGTTGGTATCTAAAGTTGGTCTCCCTAGCATAACCCTTTTCACAAACACGGATAGAGAAAAGTACTAATCTGAGCCAGTTTCCCATTCAGAACACAATGGCTTTAAGACAAATGAAGGAATTTATCAACCACTCTAATTTCATCGACTTTTCCTCATTTTAGATTGAGATCACTGTTTTGGAGTGTTCCTCTTTGCGGTCTATGATATCGTATGCATGGGTGGTTCCAGCCTGTGGCAGGCTGGGCTCATGCCTGACCCAAATTTATGTTAAATAAATATTACTCACACTTTTCTCTCTTCTCTCTTCTCTTTTGCCCGGCCCTAATTTTTGTTAAAAAAAATATTACATACACTCATCTCTCTCCTCTCCTTTTCTTTAGGGTAATGATTTCCCACTATAATTTTATCCACTTACACTCCTTTTTTAGTTATAAAATGGAGTGTAAGTAGATAAAATTGGAATCACCACTCTTTTTTTATTCTTTTCCTCACACTCTCCTCTCTCCTCTCTCCTTTTTTTTATTCTTTTCCTTCTCTCCTCTCTCCTCTCTCCTCTCTCTCTCTTTTTTTTTCCGTTCTTTTCCTTCTCTTTTCTCTCCCTCTTTCTTTTCTTTCTCCTTCTCTCATCCCTCCTCTTTTTTTCCGTTCTTTTTCTTCTATCTTCTCTCCTCTCTCTCTCTTCTTCTCTCCCTTTCTTATTTCTTCCTTTTCCTTCTCTCTTTTTGTTAGAAAAATATTACCTACATTACTTATGATTATTAAAAAAATTTGTCTTGCACAAAGATAACTATTTCAGAAATTGCGAAACATGCTTGATAGGGCTATGGAGCTCGAGGTGGAAACCTAAAAACGGATGTCATAATAAATGTTTATAAAAGGAAACAAGTAGAGAAATGAGGTCACAACTCGTTAAAAAAAAAAACCTAGCTCTGCCAATTTTCTTCCTTCCCATTTCTCTCAAAATAAATCTTGTTTTTTTTAAAATTAATGTAGTCCTCTATATTATCTTTCTTTTTAATGTGAAATAATTTTTTTTTCTTTTGGTTTTTATTTTAGTTTTTGCATTTGTAGATATAAATGCATTTGAGGGTAGGGCTTATTACGTCTCCTCTCACTATGTAATTTTTTTTATGTTTATTAATGGAATTCACTCGTTTTGTCAAGTTTGTTATATAAGTTTTGCCCGGTCGACTTTCGAATCATAAGACCGCCACTAATTGTATGACCAAAAAGGTAATGGTGGACCGGCTTGGACATATATACTATTATTATGCATGACTGAAACAAGATGCCGACATCACTGAGGCTGGATTCCCCATACAGATGAATTGTCAAAGAAATCCACCAATTTTGACTGCACATCAAATGAAAATCAATTTTAAGGACCTACCAATTTCAAACAGAGGAAAAGACAAAGTTATTTCTGCGGATGCTATCCTTCAAAACATAATTCCTTTGTTTTAATAACTCACGTGAACCAACTATATTCCACCAATTCTTGTAAAAGAAGAAAATTTTGACCAAAAAAAAGAAGAAAATTGCAAAATTTTGACCCCAAAAAAAGAGAAAAAAATTGCAAATTTAGCAAGGGGATATATATACGTATTAAACTCTCTGCTTCAATGGAAACAAAGAAATTATTATATGTGACTATAATAAGAGTATGCCACGTGATGTATGAGTTCAATAAGAATATGTTATGTGATGTTATACATTGTAAAATGTCAAATTTACCCTTAGACGAGCATTTGGATAGAATTGTGAAAAAATTGACAGTATGGACGAAATTAGCGAATCAATTTAATACAAGTCTAAATTAGCTGAAAAATTAATTCAAAGTGGTAATTTCGACAGTCGAAATAGTTTGGGAGGTATTTGGCAGTTTACCCTTTTATGTATAACTCTTCGTCCATATAACTCTTCGTCCACATAGTTGATGCCATCAGCTCTTGCTCTTTGAAGAGGCAAAACAGAACAAATGGATGCCGAAGAACAAGCAGCCGGTCTTGAATCTCCCTTGCTTCCAGCTCCTCGAGAACATGAATCACAAGCAACTAAGGGAAGACTATCCAAAGATGAGATTATCAAGGAAGTGAAGAAGCAGCTGTCTTTAGCAGGGCCACTTGTGTCATCAAATTTCTTGCTTTTTGGTATGCAGGTGATTTCAGTCATGTATGTTGGCCATCTTGGAGAGCTGGCACTTGCAGGTGCTTCCATGGCCACTTCATTTGCTTCAGTCACTGGTTTGAGCTTGATTGTAAGATGGCTTCTTTTCTTATTTCATATGACTTTGTAATTTATAGGATAATTGATTGTAGTAGAAATAAACCTATACCATAAAAGGCTTATACTCTCAAGACTCAGACAAAATAGAGAGACACAGAGAGCTTAAGACCACTGTGAAATCTAATAGAGAGGCGGCCTAGTACTTTTCGTTATAAAAAAAAAGAGAGAAAAAATACTTCTAGTTTTTCCCCCTTCATTTTTATTTTTTGATACATGAGATATTGGGGTAGGGGGGATTCGTTCACAGAACCGCGGAGGCAGGGATAAATGCTCTTCCCCTTAATTTTGTTTATCTAATTTGTGCTATTTATATATGCATATTATATATACATATATAGTATGATGTATGTAAATTGTGATGCTTGATGTGTTTGAACCAATGATGATATAATAGTCCTCATTTTAATCTTAATTTGTTGAACAGATAGGAATGAGCAGTGCATTAGACACCTTCTGTGGCCAGTCCTATGGAGCAAAACAGTATCATATGCTTGGCATACACTTACAGAGAGCAATGCTTGTTCTTCTGCTGGTCTGCATTCCTATTTCAATTATATGGTTCAATGCTGGTCATATTCTTGAGTTCTTGGGTCAAGATCCAGAAATAGCAGCTGCTGCTGGAAGTTACGCTCGTTTCCTGATACCATGCCTCTTTGCTTATGCCGTCAACCAATGCCACTCCAAATTTTTGCAAAGTCAAAACAATGTGGTTCCCATGATTGTTAGCACAGGCACTGCAACAATGTTGCACTTGATTGTCTGTTGGGTTTTGGTATACAAGACTAGCCTTGGATATAGAGGTGCTGCAGTGGCAAACTCCATCTCGTATTGGATCAATGCATTGGCATTGGTTATTTATGTCAGAGTCTCTCCCTATTGCAAGCACACATGGACTGGGTTCTCAAAGGATGCCTTCCATGGAATTCTCAATTTTCTCAAACTCTCTGTTCCTTCAGCTGTAATGATCAGGTAACCTTTAGTTATTTCACTAATACTATTGTAACATTAGATGGTTAAAATACAGTGGGAAACCGAAATAAAAATATTCGACATCTTTCGATGCATTTGAGATTTTGAAATGCTGGCACTTACTTATAGTTGTTTGTTGGTTTTATGTCTGTGACAGCTTAGAAATCTGGTCATTCGAATTGATGGTCCTCATATCTGGTTTTCTTCCTAATCCAAAGCTTGAAACCTCAGTCCTGTCAATCAGGTTTGCATTTTTACTAACTAAGCTTAAAAAGAGAGTGTTTTCATATTTCTAGTTAGTGAAGATGAAGCAGATGAAGCAGAAACAAAGATATTACTAACCGGCTTTGACACATTTGCAGTCTTAACACATGCTCAATGATTTACATGATTCCCATGGCATTCAGTGGTACAGCAAGGTGAGTCTAAGACTCTAAATCTACATCTAAGTTTTGTATGTTCCTGTTGTTGCACATTTTGTCTCAAGAATTCTATTCTGTTGTTTACTTCTATATAACAGCACAAGGGTCTCCAATCAATTGGGTGCTGGGCAACCGCGACTCGCAGTTCTAGCAGTACGTGTTGCACTGTCCATTGTGATTCTTGAGGGCATTTTGATTGGCACTGTCCTCATTTTGGGTCGAAAAGTTTGGGGCAACTGTTACAGCAGTGAAATGGAAGTTGTGAATTATGTTGGAGAAATGTTGATTTTGGTTGCAATATCCCACTTTTTTGATGGACTTCAGTCTGTGCTTTCAGGTTTCTGCAGTTTTTCACCATTTCCTCTCTCACAACAATAGATTTTGTTTCCTTCTGATTCTGGTTTTGCAAACCTTGGCATAACCTATAGCTAAAACTGAAGTCAACAGAACAAAAGATAATAAAAAGGTTTTACTCAATTCATATGATCAAACTGTGGGATTGAATACTACCCGTATGCCGCGGTTTCTCATTTTCAGGGAAGATTTTATGCTGATTTGATGAAAAGTGACTTGAATTTACAATTTCAGGTGTCATAAGAGGAAGTGGACAACAAAAGATTGGGGCATATGTTAATCTGGGAGCTTACTATCTTATGGGCATCCCAACTGCAGTTTTATTAGCTTTTGTCCTGCACCTTGGAGGGAAGGTGACATATAGTCGTTGTACTTCTATTTTTTCAAGTCCCCTCCATACTTTGTCGTACTGTAGTTTATCTCCTACTTTCTGAATCTTTCAGGGACATTTTATTTATTCAAATTAACATGTTTTTCGCAGGGTCTTTGGACCGGAATTATTGTGGCTCTTGTTGTCCAGGCACTATTTCTTGCAATCATAATCACATGCACAGATTGGGAGAAAGAAGTAAACTACTTTGTCATGTTAGGTTTCATGTATCAATCTCTGTTACATTCATCTCATGCTCCATATTTCATTTCTTATGTAGGTGAAGAAAGCCTCCGATAGGGTGTACAACACGACGACCGTGGCCGATGCATTGTAGCAAAAACTGATGCAGAAGTCATGATCGTATCAAATTGTTAGGTTGGAATCTTCAAGTTGGTTCTTGTAAACTTTTTATTTTCCATTTTCCTAAATTTTCTCGAGCATTTTCAGTGATGCATTTGTACAAACACCTGGTGACATAGACATTTACTTGAGCACCAACAATATACAATATAGACAGAAAATTTTCCTAGGCATTTTCACAAACACATATATTCAAGAGCTTCCCATGAAGTTTACAGTACAAATTAGAAACCATTGAGATTGAAAATGGTCATTATTTGATCAAATCGTCCAATAGAGTTTCTCCTAAAAGGAATGAGCCAACAATAAAATTGTGCACAAAATGCCCAAGCATCCATAAGCTTGATGAATTGAAATCAATTTAAGCAACATTTTTTTTACTTGGGTTATAAGTAAATTAAAGCCCCAAGATGCGTGTACATGAGGTGGTATGTTGGTCATTAAAAATGCTTCATTAAAGAACATACAAAAGGGTTTTCTTCGCTATCAAGGCCTAGGTTCGAGTTCTGCTGCCGACAATCCCTCTTGGTGAGTAATCTGTAAAAACTAAAAAAGGAGCTAAAACCTGTTATGTTTAGAATTCTTAGAATTGGCTTTCCTTGCCAAATGTACACTTTCATGTAATTCCACTTAGCTCATCTTTAGAAATTAGGCCTTGGGTATTTGCTACAAAGATGAAGTACATTGAATAGCTTATGAGGCTACAAAACCAAGGTAATTTATGCATTCATTTATAATGGGCATCGTTAGGAAAATCAACATCTTCATCACAACAATGTCTTGATGACTAGTCATATAGGACAGTATTTCCAGCACTAGATTTTTAACCAAGACACGTGATTTTGCTTATTATAAGTCTAATCATTGGCTACCAAGTGTCCTTTTAACTTGCCAGAAAGGCTGGGGCTGGTATGGACTCACCAACTCTCTCATTTACATTTTTCAAATGGGTTTTTAGAGATAGAGAGAAAGAGAGAGAGTTCTAGTGAGAGAATGTACATAAATTAGGTTTTGGTTTTTGGGAGAAGAGTTCATGGGTTCTTGAATTCCCTCTGGGCTTTCATTGAAATTTCATTTTTCAAACTTTTGTTAGTGATACAAAGTTTTCATCTCTCATCTCTTTCATTTTCACTATTTTGGAAAACTTGGCTTTCTCTTTGGTTTGTCTGAGAGTGTTCATGGCATAGGAATGGGTTTTCAAGATTTCATTATGAAAGCTACTTCTTTTTAGAAAATCTGAAAATAGCTTTGCATATCAAAGTTTTAATCTCTCATCTCTTTCATTTGAATTTTTTTAGAAAACTTGGTTTTCTCTTTGGTTTGTCTAAGAGTGTTCATGACTTTTGGAATGAGATTTTCAAATAGCTTTTGAAATCTACTTCTATTTTCGAAATCCACTTCACCCATTGAGAATTTTTGAAAGTAAAAATTTTACTTTGCATTCTCTACTTGGTGAGGTTTGGATTTTCATTATGAGATTTTAAAAATTAGTTTTTGAAATATGCATCTAGGGTTTAGTTTAAACACTTCGTCATCCTCGCTAGATCAGATTCTTTGTTGATTTCTTGAAGAAGATGGTTTCTTGAAGAAATTGACCATTTCATTCTAAAATCTATATTTCATTCATCAATGACGATCCGGAGCTCAGTTGGGGTGTCATAGGTTGAATAAGCTGATGGGCTAGCTGCCATTTCCACGAAGGACAAGTTACTAGTTCAACTAAGTTTGGAGAAGAAAGTTGCACAGGGAGGTAGTGTTCATTTCCTAAATAGACGTAGGATTATTTAAGCTTGTGATTACTTTTTCTGTAAGAATCTTCTGGACTGCTAGGTCAGAGTCATGACCCCCAGTTTTCCCAGTGGTGGATTTTTGGGTGAACATTTCTGGTGTGTTGTTGATTTTATGATTAGTCATAATATATGACAAGACCTGCCCATGAATTCCTCGGAATCTATGACTGCTCCTGTGGTTTTTCTGACATCCAACCGATGCCGGGCCCACTTACTAATTTCAAACATCCTCTTCCCTTAAAACAAATGAAAAGAGGGTTGAGGCTTCTACCGAAATTTCAGCAGAGTCTCTGAGTCTCCCCTGAAAAACGGACTTTACCAAATTTTTCAACCTATTAAAAACACAGTTTAAAATCACCAAACTTCAACATGCAGAAAGTACGTTACACACAACAAACAAACAGGCCTCCGTCCTCATAACCGAACATTTCTAAAACGTTCTTGCTTTTGAACTCCTTTGTAAATCCATACACCCGTAACAATTATCGTAACAACAATAAGAAAAGACATTTCTTCATATAAAATTCATTTACACACTTAGAACAATACAAGCACAGCTCAAATAGTTTATTTTCCAGGCTACCTACATACCCCTTTGTGAAAGCTTAAGCCACACGTAGTTCTCCAACGATTTAATTTAGATTCATTTACAACATCAAATTCGACAAGGCACACACTGAACACTTTATAAGTTCCTTTCCTTTTATCAGTTCTTTCCCGCAATCATACCCTAACCAAGGCGTATGTTGCCGAACAACACTTTCCAGATAGAGCTACAAGTGCCATATCCACTTGCTTGTATAATCAATAGTTTTTGGTATTCACAACTTCAAATCAAAGACAAATTCAACCAATTACATTATGACACAAAATAATACCGATCGTAGTTTCAACGTAAAAGAGGTCAAAACTTATATCAGTTCTCACTTTCCAAACTATAAATCAAACGTTCATACCTGTGCGGAGTACTCACGAAGCACAAGTTCAAGAATCTCAACCTGAAAATGAATCCATATATATATATATATATATTTAATATGTATGTATATACATATATATATACACACACCTTACATTATCATCTTGTACCAAGGGAAAACAATCCAACCTATGGATCGTTTCACTAGACCACATGAGAGAATCCTCAACATGTGGCCAAGGATGAGCCGTCCAACCGGGGGACTGGTTCCCAGCACGCACAACAGAATCCTCAATACTTGTGCGCCGGTGACAAGTATTACGCACGTAGACTACCCTTCTAAGGATCTACGAAACACCCTGCCAAGGGTGCCTGGGTTCCGACATATCTAAGTATCCATTTCGAGTAATCATATCCAAGTATCTAAGTGCCAAAGAGGTACATATCATAGTGCATATCATGCACATCATGTATTGGGGAAACAATCCAACCGGGGATCGTTTGGCTGAACCACACCAAGGAATCCTCAATAACCATGTGGTCAGGGACGAGGCGTCCATCCAGGGGACTAGGCTCCCAGCATGCACAGCAGAATCCTCAATACTCATACGCCTGTGACAAGTTCTACCCGTGCAGACTACTCCGCTAAGGGTCTACGAAACACCCCGTCAAGGGTGCCTGGGTTCCGATCATATCCAAACGATAACCACAGTTTCCAAGTATCCATTATCCATCAATTCCTAATCCCTGGAAATCCCATAATCATATCTTCCATAACTCAAAACATTCGTAGTATAGATAGCAACTCTCAAAAGCATATACTCATACCCCACACATTCATAACCTCAAACCAAAATATTAAATACCAACTGATTCAGTTTTCCCAATCATAATTGAATTCCATATTCATACAGGAATTATCATCATTCAACATCAAATCATGCATCAATTTACATCATCCCCAAAGCTTCATTTATATCAATATAATAGCCAAAAACCACAATTAAACAATATTATAATCTCAAAATTAAAGCACTAAAAACATACATTTGAAATGTTCATAGAGTAATGCACACTAAGACAAATGTCCGAATACTACCAAAACTCGTTATACGACCTCAACCGCGCATTTAAAATCAAACCCCAGTTCCCAGAACTTAACGTGGACCCGCCTCCTTAGAAAATTCCTAAGGCTATTCTAGTACTTTTCAAAGGACGGGACTGTCTCAAAAGACATGTGGTCAATGGTTTGGTCAAACTTTTCATTTTTGGTCAACGGGGCCCGCGGACCCCATGACCTTCAATTTCAAATCCGAAAGTTCCCTGAGGTCCAACGAGGTCTACTGAACACGTCTTAAAAGTTTGGTCTCAATCCAGCTGTCGGATTTAAACCAATCGCACGATCGAATGGCGATCGCTTCGCCTAACCCTAGACTCAAAATTCGAAGTATCCAGGACTCCGATTCTCGATCCGCAAATTCCTACACGATCCCAGAGGTACACGACATATTTGAAGTTGGAACCAATCCAACGGTCCGAACCTATAGAACCCGGATATCGCCTAATAGGCGTAAATCCGTTCTACCATCATACGACAACTAAATTCGAATCCGAGCATACCGTCGTGCTTGGGTCGAGATGACAATGGGAGTAAATCAGAATATAATGGGCCATCACCCCCGTGGCCCATGTGTTACCGGTTGAGAAAATTTTGGCGATAAAAAAAATTCTCAAAACACCCTACAATACCTATACCAATACATTCAGACTAACAAGAGAAGTGATTTTTGTTCTTGGACCATGGCCAAAAACTAGCCGAAACTAGCCGGAACGAACCCAAACCATGAGCCCTAGGTGGGTGTTTTAAACGATCTCTAAAACCTCAAAATCGATCTACAATACCTACATAAATGGATAGATCACGAAGAGTAGATGAAGTTTCATACCTCACTCGACAAAAACAGTGGCCGGAGTCACTGAAAACAGCGTCAGAAACTTCGAAGATCGCTTAGACTTCCAGTTGTTCCAGTTGCGAATCCTTGGATTTTTGAGCTAGGAAATGGGCTGGGTCAGGTAGAGGACAAAGACACTAAGATTTTGGGACTGGTTGGGAGAAATTGCCAGCCAAAGTGGTTTGCCTGTTATGCTTAAGGAGATGGAGAGAGAGCATGCGGGGGAAGAAGAAGTAGAGAAATAGAGCTGGCCCGAGTACTGTAGCAAACATACTGTAGTGGTACTGTTTGCTACAGTAACAAATTTAAAATT